CACCTTTAAATATGTACGCCTTGTCAACCTGCATTTCTACTGTGGAAAGATAAAACACATTGAAAAATCCTGAAGCATTAGAATGGAAGATATAAAAAACAAGACTCTCAGGGAGGGACAATTTGGTGACTGGATGAGAGCCACAGAGGGGTTGCAAAGTCTAAATTGGAACAATGTTGGTTCCTCTTCAGGGCAAACAAATGAACCTGAATCACCACCAAGTAATTCCAACTGCAACAACAACTCGTTGAGAGAAGAAGAGGCTATGAAAAATGACGGCACAACCAAAAACACCTCTCAGAGCCAAACAGAGCCAAACACAGCCAAAAGACAACCAAGGCATCAACAAAGTTAATGTGTCTACGACTCCAACTACTCACTCATCTGATAAGGAGCTGGTCCTCTACAGTCCAGCAGCAGCTAATCATGAACCCAACCACTCATTTGGGAATCAAGAAATGGTGGACTCTATGGAGGAGATATCAGCACCTGCTAGAGGAAGCACTAGTCTGAGAGGGAGAGGTAGGAAGGGGGCTCCCCTTAACAGGACCACTTGGAAGAGGTCAACTCAGAAGGAAGGCAGACTATTAAGAAGCTCCAAAGACAATCACATGGAGATGCCAACTATGGCAACCAAAAGGTCTAGAGATTTGAGTATTACCTGCTTCAACTCTTCTCACAGTGAAGAGCAACCTGAGAAACAAGATAAAAAACTGAGACTGAGCTTGGCAAAGGTGGAGAGGGTTGTCTACAGAAGCCCACAGATTCCCGATGAATGCTCTGGTGTGGAACTTTATAGGTTTGGGTGGGCCCTCTACAGTTCCCTAGATCAAGGAATCCCTGAGAATCCACCACCCATCATTCCTTTTCCTTTCTGAAATTAAAAAAAAAAAAAAAAAAAAGAAAAAAAAAACACAAAAAATTTGTTTCTTATATTTGTTTCAATATGGGTTTTGCTAAAAGGCATCATTTTGTTGAGCCTAGAGGGACAGGGGGAGGTCTTCTCTTATTGTGGGATGCAGACATGGAAATTATTCATATCCATAGCCAGAGTTTCTTTATTGATGTAAACTTTAAAAAGAAGATAGGAGGTAGTTCCTGCTGGGCCATTTTTGTCTATCTCAGTTCATCTAAATCAGAGAGAGCATTGCAATGGGAGTGTCTACTCTAGGAAAAAAATGGCTGGGGTTCTTTGTGGTGCATAGTAGGATACTGGAACGATATCTGCAGGCCTGAGGACAAGAGAGGAGGGTATATCAAACCTGACAAAGACTACTGGGAGTTTAAAAGCTTTCTTTCTCAATTGGGAGTCCTAGAAATTCCATTGCAAGGACTTACCTACACCTGGACTAACAACAGAAAGGGGCAAGAATATGTGGAAGAAACCCTGGATAGGTTGTTTGTGGCCTTGGATTGGCTAACCAAATTTCTAGATACCAAGGTGACAAGCTGGTTCAGAAGTGCTTCAGACCATACCATGTTGGTCATTACTTCATCAGAGGTGACAGAAAATTCAATAAACGGTTCCAGTTTGACAAGAGATGGATACACAAAGATGGTGCAAACTCTGTGGTTGAAAAAGCATGGGAGGAACCTACCTTGGGCACTCCTATGTTTATTCTTAAGGAAAAAATTAAGAGAACAAGACAAGCCTTCCTAAAATGGAGTAGGTATTTCACAACAGATCACACAACCAAAATCCAAAAACTCACATTGCAACTAGAGGATCTCAGGAGAGAAGGTGGGGACAGGGACTGGGACACATGGGACAGAATCTAGCAGGAGGTCAATGCAGCTAACGTTTCTGAGGAAATTTACTGCCAACAAAAGGCCAGAACCTCTAGTTCAAAGAAGGAGATCAGAAATCCAAATTCTTCCATGCATACGTCTCTCAGAGGAGAAAAATGAACTCAATCGTAAGGTTGGTGACTGAGAGAAACACAATCTGTGACTCCCCATAAAGCATTGAGAAGCACATTTTAGAATTCTATACCAAGATCTATACCTCTAATGGCTCCAGAGGTGGGCATGAATTTCTTCCACTAATCAAAAGGACAGTCACTGATGAGATGAATGCACTGCTGGCAGCCCCCGTGGAAGAAGATGATATCAAAAAGATAGTTTTCAGTATCCATCCGGACAAAGCTCCTGGAGAGGATGGAATGACAGGCCTCTTCTATCAGCATTTCTGGCTAATCATTGGTATGGACATCATATCTGCTGTTAAAAGCTTTTTTGAATCTTATCAGACGCTTAAATACTGGAAACACACCTTAATCACTTTGATACCCAAATGTTTCAATCCCACTTCTATCAGTCAATATAGACCAATTAGCCTTTGTACTGTATTTTACGAAGTTATTTCTAAAATCCTGGCTATGAGGTTAAGATTATATCTCTGTGACTGCATCTCAGTTAATCAAGCAGCCTTCCTTCCTGGAAGGCAACTGCTTGACAATGTTGTCATTGCCCATGAAGTCTTCCATTTCTTTAATATACATAGATCAGGCAAGAATTATTTTATAGCTCTAAAACTTGACATGAAGAAAGCATTTGACTGTGTAGAGTGGAAATCTATGCAATCGACTATGTTAAGGATGGGGTTCAGTGCTTCATTTGTTAACTGGATAATGGCATGCATTCAGTTTCCTACTTATTCCTTTAATTTAAATGGTAAGCCTTGTGGATTTGTCACTGCATCAAGAGGTATAAGGCAGGGGGATCCTCTATCCCCCTACCTCTTTCTATTTATTTCTGAGTTGCTGACAACCAAGATCTTGGATGAAGCTGAAAAAGGCAGATATAGAGGGGTAAGAATTTCCAAAGAAGGGCCCATCTTGACCCACTTGTTATTTGCAGATGACACCTTACTTTCTGCAAAACAAGTGAGCAACAGACCAACAATATTCTTAAAATCCTCCAAGCTTATGAAAACTTCACTGGGCAGCAAGTGATTATGATCAAGTCTTCAGTATTTTTAGCAAGAACACTCCACCAGCAGTCAAGAACAGTTGTTGTTCTATACTCTCAGGAATCCAAATCCATTCTTCTACCAGATATTTAGGCCTCCCAATGGGAATTGGCAGATCAAAGAGGGAGGCCTTTGATTACATCCTTATAGTGGTCAAAGATAGAGTTTGCAGTTGTAAAAACAAGTGGCTCTCTATAGCAGGTAAGGAAATCCTTATTAAAGTTGTACTCAATGCCTTATCTGTTTTTGCTATGTCTTGTTTTGTCTTGTCTGTCACTCTGTGCAAGGAAATATCCGGCATTTGTGGGAACTTCATGTGGAGTAAGCACTCAGATCTTGATAAAGGCTTCCATTGGATTGTCTGGAGTAAGTTATCCTTGTCTAAGAAATTAGGAGGGCTTGGATTTCAAGACATTCAACAATTGAATACTGCCCTCATAGCCAAGCAACTCTGGAGACTACTCACAGTGTCTGATTCTTTAGTAAGCAGAGTTCTCAAAGCCAAATACTACCCAGATTCTTCTATTTTTTAGGCTCACTTACCCAAGAATTCATCCTGGTTGTGGAGAAGTTGGCACTTAGTTCTGCAGGTATATTCAAAGTGGATGCATGTGGAAATCAGAGATGATTCTTCTACTAGGATATGGGATGAGCACTGGCTTCCTACTCTCCTAGAAAAACCAGTGGAATTGCTTTCTGGTATTGATAGAAATTGTTTATGGGTCAAAGACCTGATGACTCCTGATGGTTGGAACTGGGATATCAACAAACTCAGAAGAACTTTTTCCCACAGATACCTGTAATCTGATTATGTCCATTAAGACTCTCAACCCCAATCTCCCTGACAGATGGAAGTCGACTCTCAGCAGTAATGGACAATTCTCTGTCAAATCTGCATATGGCCACTTCATCACAGAGAAATTCCTCAAAAGTGGGCAGCCCCAGGGAAGCAGTGATATGGCCAGAGACATCAAAATTAGGCGCAAAAGCTGAAAATTGCAGGTCATGGGCAAAGTCAAACACTTTATATGGAAGTGTTATAATGACTCACTGTTTGTTAACAAGAACCTTCTAGCCAGAGGGATTGAAGTTGATAGTATCTGTGGAATCTGTGGTGAAGGAGTGGAAACGACAGAACATCTTTTGTTTCATTTCTCTCTTGCTCAGTTGGTTTGGAAATTATCTCCGATTCAATGAGAAGGTCCTAAAGAGAGAGCATCCTTCAATAATTGGAGGTGGTCTATCTGCCAACTGGATAAGTCAGACACATCAGAGGCAAGGATTCAGTTAACAACATATATACTCTGGTGGCTCTGGAAAACTCGCAATCTGTGGATGTTTGAAGGAGTTAAAAGGCCGACATATCTCATTGTCAAAGCAGCTCAACAAGATTGGATATCCTACATGACAAGCAGAGTGTCCAGGCCTTGATCTTCATCAGTTTATTTAGTTTATCTCTTTGAACTGTAGGTTCTCATTTTTTCTTTATCCTTGTATTGTATTGTGATGCTGAACTTTGTACCCTTCATTTGGTTTAATCTGAGCTATCTATCGTTTAAAAAAAAAAATGCAGGTGCAGGGGCATGGCACAACATTATAATTGTTTTATTAAGTTCATTTGTGATTTTTCAGATCCTTCAGTGGTATGTGTTATTGTGCAAAATGAGTTGTTTTTTTATTGTTTGTTCTTTACAAGCTGTTAGCAAGTGTTATTTTCGTAAGTTTGAGGTCTTTCAATGTTTGTTTCGCAATAGGTGTTGAGTGAAATTTCGGAAGATGAATACCATGATATTTTACCTCTAAGGTGCACTTTAACTACCAAAGAAGGTTGTGTTTATGAAGTAGTTATGAAGTACTTGGATAACAGGCTCCAATTTGTGGATGGTTGCGGGAGGATTTCATTCACAAAGAAAGAGTTATGAATGAATTACTGTTCACTTTGAACGCATCAATGCATCAAGCTTTAACGCATCTATATGGACGAGAGCTGGGTATGGAAAGAGCGCCGCAATATCAGTTTACGCTTTAGCTAAAAAAAACTCATATTGAACGTGCTCGCCTGGTAATTGCATGTTTTAATTTGTCTAATTTCATCATGGAATTGTTGTGGTAAATGGTCCTTAACAAAATTAATAATGTTGCATTTTGTACAGTTCATTCCCATGGCGTTCTGGAATATGCACATCAAAGATCAAAGGTGTTTTAAAAAGAAAGCGTATCTTTTTACTGACCAGTGTTTTTACCGTTTGGATGTAACTGAAAGACATGATAAAAAGTTAATGGAACATGAGGATGCTCGTCAATTCATCGAACGTAATGGATTGA